TTTTTATTTATCATAATTACTTAGAAATTAATTTTATTAATTTTAAAATAAATTATTAATATTTCTTGTGCCATAACATTTTTAAAGACATTTATTTAACTAGAAGAATTTTATATATTTTTTTTATTTTTTTTTATCTAATTTAATTTTTATTTATCATTATTACTTATAAATTAATTTTACATTTTTAACATAAATTATTAATATAAAATAGTTACCCACGGATTTATATCCGTACCCATGGATATAAATCTGTGGGTAACATCCATTTGAAATTACAGACAGAAAAAATTCTTGGGTAATATCTGTCGAAATCGTTTATATTTCAGATGGACACATATCCGTCAGAAAAATCCGTCGGTAATGTCATTTTTCAGACGGATATTTATCCGTGAAAAAAAGTCTGTCAGTAATGAGTGTTTTTTTTGTAGTGTAGATAGAGCATCAAGGACAAATTTACGATCCGACTCAAGGGTTACATGGGTGAGGCTCAAAGATACTATCCATTGGATGATTGCAAGTAGAGTTGTAGCTTCAGTCTTATGAACAGGTGAGATGCTATGAGTCCAACTAGTTTTGGTTGCGAGAAAATGTCCAGTTTTATTTCAAACGCACGTGCTATGCCCAAAGCAAGATGAGTCCTAGAAGAGAGCAACGTCAATATTGTACGTAAATATCCCTACATGAGACTTTTTCCACTATAGATCGTATATGGGAAGGATCTTTTGCGTTGCCGATCTTGCTTGTGCCACCTGTCAATCCCAAAAATGTTGCTTTGTATGTACAACTAAATACTATATATATATATATATGTATATTATTTATATTTTGTATAAATTAATATTTTTAAAATATGTAAATTATATTTAAATTTACAATTTATTTTTTATATTGTGATAATTTTTTTAATTATTGATAATTTATTTTAAAAATATAAAAATTTAATTTATAAATATATAATAAATAAATTTAAAATGTATAAAAAAATTAAAAGAATTCCAAAAAGAATAAAAGTACTTAAAAAAATTATAATTAAAAAAAATCCCTAAAAATATTATTGTGCAAGAAAATCATTCATGTTTAGTATATGAATTAATTTTTTTACAAGTTTGTTTGATTGAAAGGAAGAGAGGAGAGGGAAGGGTTGGAGCATGTCAACTAACACCTGAGACTCCACCTGCCTCCACCTCTAAACCCTGCATCTGCCCCAGCCTAACTAAGACTTATGCACCAAATCTTGAATTAAGTAAAGAATTGCCGCATATTTACTAGTACTTTGAATATCATGCTCAACAACTAAGGTTGAATCGGGAACGCATAACAGAAACTACGTGTGTAGAATGGAAAGTAACTCGGTAGACATCCACAGCGTCAACCGCCCCACAGCCACTTACCATCGGATTCTCGCACTAGACCACCAACGCCCTTGCAAAGCTGGCATCAACATGGAGACTCAGCAAAGATACAACACACCCATGTGCTGTATTATCACTTGTTACAGCAAATGCATGCACCACGGTAATATGCATAAGGTTATTTTTATTTACAACCAAAATATTATCTTTTCTATTCTTTTTTTTTTAAAGTACTTATTGATAAGTTTATTTAACCGGTGTTTTTATCATTTTTATACAAGTTTTTGAGTGCTAAACATCATCAAAGTAGATATTATCGCTTTCTTTAAAGTCTTTTTCAATACATATATATGCTAACAATTTAATTTTTAATAATATGCTTAATTACTAAATTAAGTTATCTATTATCAATATATCTGACTTTTTTTTTCTTGCATATCATTTTATCCAAAGTCAAGGCAAATAATGGAAATTTCATTTAGTTATTTCTCATTCACCAACAAACATCTAGAATTCCCACATGTAATGATTCTGATTTTCAACTTAGGAGAGTCCATTCCACTCAGCTTTTTCCCTAGTAAAATAAGAAATTGAGATGCAAAACAAAGATTTCCTCAAGCCCCATTACAACCTTTAATTTAAATTGAACTACAATGGATGCCATATGAGCTTGAAATCAAGCAAAATCTAAAGCACTACAAGACCAAAGGTGGGGCAGGACAAAGTACATAAATTTTCTTTGTGAAATTTTGTTGGAGTTGTGATTATATTCCATAATCTAGGAAACTCAACGGATTTGTAGCTGTGTCTGTCTTGACACCTTCAATATCACACAACAAAAGTCCAAAAAGAAAAAGAAAAAGGCCAATGAAGTGGGCAAAGTGACAGGAACTACCGCTTTTACTTTCTTTCTCCTGGGCCGAGCCTAGTGGGACCAAAATAGATATGCAACATCATTTTTCCTCTCTGTTAAATTAATAAAAGACTTTCCGAAAGCAACATAGCATGGCCCATATATAGTTTTACTTAATGTGTGTTTGGTTCTGCATTTTTTAAGCATGTCTACCCATAATTTCACCCAAAACGTAAAAGTTATTTCTTTATTGTTTCAAAACTAATGGGCGTCTACTGAGAATGCATGTGGAATCAAACAAGAGGTTTGACTAAGTAAGCTGTGTAAAATGGAATAAACCAATATTCCTATTCTTGGGTTTACTTTACACCAGCAATTACTGTGTCAGTCTAATTTACAATGCACTAAATGGTAATAATAGTTACTCAAAAAAAATAGTGGTAATAATAGTTATGCCAAAGGAAAAAAATTGGGCAGACACATTTCGAATAAATTTTCCAATTAATTTTGTTGATTTTAACATTTGAGAGACATTTATGAGTATTTGTGGATTAACTTGCGTAAAATTGTTTTCCATAAATTATTAAAGTGTTCATATTTTAATATATTTTGAAATAAATATATTATGTCAATTTTATTTTATAAA